CCTCACGGTTTGTGTGGTTCTCCAGGTGTTCTCTCAGGAGTACATCAACCTACTGCTGTCCGTCTACTTCTTTGTTCTGGGGGTTCTGGCTCTGTCTCACACCATGAGGTACTCCACCACACTGAGTGTATTTATACTGTGTGTTACTGTGTAGTACTGTAGGATACTACGTAGTACTGCGTAGTACAGTGTAGTACTGGCTCTCTGTAACTCTGGTGTCGCTGTTTCAGTCCTCTGATGTCCAGGATCTTTCCAGCGTCTTTCCCCAACAAGCAGTACCAGCTGCTGTTCACTCAGGGCTCCGGAGAGTCCAAAGAAGGTGACATGACGTAAAACTGTGAACGGAACCGTTTCAGTGTTTCTGAGTCAGAACCAGGATCTGACGTCTGAACTTGTCTCTGCAGAAATCGTCAATTATGAGTTTGACACCAAGAACCTGGTTTGTCTGCTGATCAGCAGCGTGGTGGGAGTCTGGTACCTGCTCAAAAAGGTTGGTTACCCGTCACCTGGTTACAGCTTAGCTATCACTGGGTTAGCAGTCAGTGGGTTGACCAGTAGAACCAAACTAACTCGTCTCGTTGACATCAGCACTGGATCGCTAACAACCTGTTCGGCCTGGCGTTCGCCCTGAACGGTGTGGAGCTGCTGCACCTCAACAACGTCAGTACCGGCTGCATCCTGCTGGGGGGGCTGTTCGTCTACGACGTCTTCTGGGTGAGCTCATCACCGGCAGCCTCGTAGAAGTAGTCATGTCAGTGCTGTGGTGTCGGAGGCTCTGTGAATGTTTCACGTTGTAACGGAGGCGAGGTTCAGGAACACCTGTGATTTACCTGATTCTGTCTGTCCAGGTGTTTGGGACCAACGTCATGGTGACGGTGGCCAAATCGTTTGAAGCACCAATCAAACGTGAGTATGAGAGATGATCCTGGTACTGTTCCTGCCTGCAGCATCAGGAACCAATCAGAGAGCAGCTGAACACTGCAGGAACCGTGTTCAGGATGGTCTGTCTGTTTGTGGTCACGTTGTGCATCTTTGTGTCCTCAGTGGTGTTTCCTCAGGACCTGCTGGAGAAAGGTCTTAATGCCAGTAACTTCGCCATGTTGGGACTTGGAGACATCGTCATCCCGGGAATCTTTATCGCTCTGCTGCTGCGCTTCGACGTCAGGTGACTCCTCGTCCTCCTCCACCTCTTCTTCCTGTTCTTCCTCCTCCTCCACCTCTTCTTCCTGTTCTTCCTCCTCCTCCTCTACCTCCTCCCTCTGTGGCTCCACCTTTCTCCTCTCAGGTAGACTTACCTGTTGATCTGTTGCTCCGGTGTCTGCAGCCTGAAGAAGAACAGCAGGACGTACTTCTACTCCAGCTTCCTGGCCTACATCTTCGGACTGGGCCTCACCATCTTCGTCATGCACACCTTCAAACACGCTCAGGTAACCGCTCACCTGTGTCTGTGTTGATGTTCTGATTTCTGGCTGGCTGCCTCTTGAGCGTCTCCGCCATCGGAGGGTTTTTTACAAAAAAATCTAAGAATATTAGTGACACACATGTTCAAAATGGCGTCCATTTTCCAAGATGGCCGCCTCCAGCATCGTGTCGCAGCGGCGTCTGAGAGATTCACTTGAGGCGTGTGCAGCGGTACAGTCCAGACTCTGTGCGCTGATCCGATGCGTTGGTGTTCTCTGATAACTCGGCGGCTTTGCTCGCCGACGCTGTCGCTGAGCTGAAACTCATCAGACTTCTTCACTGCAGCTCCAGAATAATGAGGCGACTGTCTTTAAAGGTCCACCGCTGACTCCACAGTCGCCCTGTCAGGAATCCAAAACGATGTGAATAGAAAAACAAACTCAAAACAACAGCAGTGTCCACCATCTTGTTAAATGGAAGCCATTTTGAATTTCCACCTGCTCCCTAATGTCACACCTGACGCCTGTAAACCTTGTTGTTGTTGTTGTTGTTGTTGATGTTTTGATGATACAAAGTCTGCAGATCAGAAACAACAAAACGGTTTTAATGAAGCTGTTTGTGGGAAAAAACTGATGATGGAATTAACTTTTTATTAATGTGTTGTCTGGTGTCAGAACATCGGAACATAAAAACATCAGAACGTTAGAACATTAGAACGTTAGAACATCAAAACGTTAGAACACCAGACCGTTAGATCATCAGAACGTCAGAATGTGACAACACTAGAACATCACAACATGAGAACATCAGAACATCAGAAGATCAGACCGTCAGAACGTCAGAACATTAGATCATCAGAATTATTGATCCTCAGTATGGAGTATTGATTGGTTCTGTGTGTCTGTCTGCAGCCTGCTCTGCTCTACCTGGTTCCGGCCTGCGTCGGGTTCCCCGTCATCGTAGCGCTGTTCAAAGGAGAACTCACAGAGATGTTCAGGTGAGTCACCATGACGACCACACACCTGCTGGTCACATGATGTGGGCGGAGCCTGTAGATAGCAGAATGAATCTGTTCTGAAGACACGAGCGCTCACTGCTTGTAGCACTAAAGTAGAACCGGTTCTGTTGGAGTTCACCCCTCGTTTGTCTGTAATAACTGACGGTTCTTCATTATTGATCGTTAGTGACTCAGGTTGAAATGTGTCGACAACAGAACAAAGAACCAAAAGCTTCCATCTGCAGCTTCAACCTGGAACCTGAAAACACAAACCTGCTGCGAGGTTCTACAGAATATAATGAAAACTAAAAGAAATTCAAGGTTCTGGTCCAGTGGAGCAGGAGCTGACAGAACATCAGAACCTGCAGGTTCTAAAGTTCAACGTGGATGAAGAACAAAGAACCGACTGATGAGCAGCTGCAGCTTTAAGGCTCCAGAAGGAACCAGGATGGTTCTAAACCAGAACCAGTTCTCCACAGCATTCGTCAGGTTCTCTGTAGGTTGTTCTTTAGAGAACGGGCCTCCGTTCTTCTGTGGACCCCGTTCTCTCTCAGTGGTTCTGAATGTGACCCAGCTGACTGGTGCTGAGATCAGACTCTGGTGTTTATCAGTCAGCAGAGTTAAACAGAACAATGAAACCAGGTGGAACTAAGACAGAACCCAGATCCAGATCAGTCTGCTAGCAATTACCAGACGTTGGTCAGCTGGTTCCAGACTGGTTCCAGTCCAGTCTTGGACTTGGTTTTGGACTGAATTCAGGCTCACGTCTGGTTTAGAACCGGTGCTTTTATCTGGCGTCTGACTGGTTTGATTCTGAACTGTTTTTGGACCGTTTTGACCCGGTTCTAACCTGGTGTCGGACTTGATCTAAGACTAGTTTTACGGTGTTGTTGAACCACGTTTGGACCCGATTTCATGCCGAGTCTAGCTTTTAAAACCGGTTTGGTTCTGGCTGGTGTTGCAGTTGTTTTGTGGATTCGGTCCATTTGGGTGTTTCTGCGTGTGATCCGGACCGACTCTCTCTGGTTCCGATCAGGGCTGTCTTTGGTTCAAATTGGAGTTCTGGTTCTGACCGTCTGCTCAGGATTCTTTGTTCTTCTGGTAGCTGAAGTTGTTCTTTCAGACTCGTGGTTCTGACGTGTGATGGATCCAGATCTGAACAGTAGCTGCCACCAGAACTCCATCAGTTCTTCTCTGAGGCTGTGACCCGTAGAACCTCATGGTTCCACCTGTTCTCCTGCTGAACCTCCGTCTCGCCTCCATTCAGATTCTGTACAAACTAAACTTTAGAGTTTAAGATAACAACTCACGACTTTCTTTCTGTTTTCTTCCTGTTTTTCTCACTTCCTGTTTCCGTCTGCTCCTACCTTTACGTTTTCATGTGGACCTTGTTCACTTCCTCCATGTCCATCCTCTCCTCCTCCACCTCCTCGCTCAGTTATGAGTCTTCAGAGGAACTCCTTCCCGGCTCTCCCAGACTCACTTCCTTTCCCACCGTCAGTGGTTCGCCTGCCAGCCTGGCGAGCTCCATGGACGCCGTCTCCATGGCAACAAGCTCCTCCCCGCGCCGTCGTCGGGTACAGCCCACCTCCATGTAGAAGCCCCGCCCCCTTCTGTCTTTACTGCCCCCTCCCTGTCTCACCTGGGCAGGTAAACAGGCCGTGCCACCCCTGGGTGGGCTTTAGTGGTGTGAAATAGAAATGAAGAATAAAGATTAAAGCCAGACGGTTCAGACGATCCTGTTTGTCTATGAAGAGTCAGAACTTTAGCTCTGAGTCACAGCTGATCAACGCTGTCGGGTCTCAGCCGCCATAGTTGTAGTTTTAATCGCTAACATTCAGTCCAGTTAGATGAAGTTTCATCTGTGATGTTTTGACGGTTTTTCTTCTCAATATTTAAGTTATTCATAAAGAACAACGTGGACGTTAGACGAGCTTCGTTTCCTTTCAAACGTTTCTGATGTTCAGCTTGTTGGTTGAGAACATGTTGAAGCTGCTGTAGCTTAAACTCAGAACATCTCCAGCTGAAGCTGCAGGTTGAGATCAAGTAAACTGTGGATCAGTTGAAACCAGACGTTGGCACAGATGAACGTCCACGAAGTCACGTGTTCACAGGAAGCTCTCGAGTCTAGGAGGAACATCTGAAGTCCAGCTCACGTTCAGGATCAGCGCTCTGTTCATGTCTCTGGTGGTTTCTTCTTCTCCTCCTGCAGGTACGAGGAGTCTTCACCTGAAGAGGCGGGGTCTACAGATGAGTCATCAGAATCAGAGAAGAAGGACCAATAGGATCCATCGCTGCCCCCCCTCCGCCCCCCTCCATCTGTCATCCGCCACATTTCACCGAAGCCCCGCCCCCCTCACCTGTCCAGCTTCCTGTTTGGGGACTTGGGGCTCGTGTTGCCAACGCGTTTGTCTCTGATCACCATGGGAACGGCCGCTGGTGTCTATGGCAACGGCTGCTGCCTGCCGGCGGCGGCGTCTGAAGGTCCGGCGCCTGCTGGCATCATCACATCACGTGTTCGCAGCCCGCCACCTCTGGTTGGCCAGAAACTGTCTGCAGGAGCGTCGGTGAACCGGCGCTGCTCACATTTAATTTAGTCGCTTTGCATCTAACAGAACCGGGTTTCCTGAACGCTGCGGTTCTTCTGCTTCTGCTCTCACTGCTGCTCCTTTGCTTCGGTTCCGTCTCAGGCCCAACTTCAAGACGAGCTCGGTCTCCTCTGAATAAATGTGACCGTCGGGTCTGTTCCACATCCTGAGCTTCACCGTCTGTTTCCCTCCATTAAAATACAAACCCAGAGACACAAACGTCTGAAGCCCGGTTCTACTGCAGTGGGACGATTCATTCTTTGTCAATGAATGCTGAGCTGCAGTGAAACATCTGGCTTCTGGGCAGACGATGGTCTCAGTGACTCATAGTTCCTGATTAGGATTATTGGTTGTAAAAGACGTTGATAGCTGATAGAAATCTAAAGTAAAACTGAAAACCACAAACTGCAGCACCAAACCTTGAAACGGGTCATTTAAATCTGTTGAGTCCGAAACCTTAAAGCAGCCAAAGACTTAACGAAAGAGAACAAAACATTTATTCCAGCTGAAACTTGGACGTTCACAAACGACCAAAGTGTCAAACTGACAGAGAAAAGGTCAGAAGGTTTGACTGCAGCTCAGTGAAAGATCTGAGCTCAGTGTGACCGACGTCAGCACAGCGTTTATCAGGAATCACTTTAACAGCAGAGAAACGTTTAGTTCACTGATGACTTTGTTAGTTGGACACATTCAGCGTCTGGAGGCTGGAAAATTAAAATGCGCAGGCTTCATCAGAACTTCTGGATTTGTTCGGTGAAGTCAGGTTCAGTCTTGAAGTCGTGGCCTGTGGATGAATGTCAGGCCTCAGTCTCTCTCCTGATTGGTCGGTGGGCTGAGGGGCGGAGCCCTGCAGCTGCCTTGTCCAATCAGCTGTGAGCCTGAGACCAGGCGGCGAAGCACTGGAGGGTTTTCACAGAAGCATCCTCAGACTGATCTGAACTTCATGTTGGTACGGGAGTTTCACTTTATTAATCATATCAGTACGTTTCAGTTCTTGTTTGTTTGGATTGTTTAGGAGGAATTAAAACTCTTTCCGTTAAATAACTAACAAGAGTTGCTGGAGTCAACAGAAGGAGAATTTTTACATTTTCCTGATCAATGAACTAATTATTTTCCCCCTTTTTGTTTGTAAAGCTTTAAAGTGGAAGGCAGATCCAGTCAGCGTTGTCAGGTCCGACCAGCAAATTAGAAAAGTGGCCAAACTTACGGCTAGGAGTCAGAGTTCTGCTGTTAAAGCCAGTTAAACGCCACGTTCTCAAAGGAACTTGAGTCTGCTGCTGGAAACTCCATTTCCCATGATGCATCTTCAGAAGAACTGACTGTAAAGCTGATAGTACTTATTTCACTGATTGGGAGGATTTTGTGATGATCTCACCAGAAGCCTCAGTCAGATGGAAGGTGTTTGTGATGTTGTTCACTGTTAGCAGTTCAGACCCGACGTGTTTGGATGCCTGAGAAAACTCTCCAACAGACATTCAGCCTCATTAATATTCTCTGTTATTGATGTGAATGCTTTATTAAGAGATGCACAGTTTTGTATTTTGATGTAAAAATAAAACCGGTTCATGCTCATATTCAGCTCAGTGAAGTTCAGTCGCTCCTCCTAATTTTAAATCTGATGTATCTGAAATGTTTTTTTTTCTCTTCTTCTTCTCTGGTTGTATTTGTGCAGGAGGTCGTTTTACGGCTCCGACTGTATCTTGTTTTATTTGCAATAAACTTTTTGGTGTTTTGATCACCGTATAGAGAAGCAAAACTCTGAGTCGCCTCGTCTAATTCATGCTGTTTGGAAAACCTCTTTTTTAAAAGCATGGTTCATTTTTAGCTACTCGGTTACTAAAGAGTAATGAAACTCAAATGTTTAAAGTTTTTTAATTTTCCAGCTAATAGTACAACTGTGTTGTGCCATACAGCATTTAATACGACAGTTTCTAGCAGCAGTCACGTGTTCTGACGTGTTTGTGTTAAAAAGAAAGAAAGAAAGAAAAAGGTGTAAACATTGTTTTATTGGTTTCCTATGAGCTGCAGTATTTTTGTCAAGTAAAGCTAAAAATAATAAACGAAGAGGTCAAGTTAAGGCCATTTGCTTATTTAATCTGCAAAATCCTTTTTTCTGAGAGATTTCAAATCGCTGCTGGGCTTTTATTCTGAAAAAGCCTTAAGTAGTCTTTCAATGCTGACAGTCATAATATATAAATATATATAATTCATTTATCATTGAACAGTTTTGTGTTGTTTTGTTGGATATTTACTAGATGTCCGTTTTGTACAAGCTGCGGGGCTTTTATTGTGAAGGACAGTCTTTACAGGAACATGATCACTTTTGACAACATGCTTTAATGGCTGCTGACGGATGAAACGTTTTCTTCACTCATAGTTTTATTACTTAGATCGTCTCGGTTTTACTTTCTTGTAGATTTTGGGGCAGATTTCAGTTTTCGAGACGAGTTCTGACGCTCTTGTTGTGAAAACCGTGACCCGGTAGCCATCCGACGGCTCCGGTGAAAACGGAGCAGCAGGAGACGAGCCGCTTCTTCCAGCCGGTTCGGTTCGAGCCTCCTGGTCCGAGGATGGGGGAGGCCGACGTGACGCTGAGCCAAGCCGAGGAGAAGCCCCCGGACTCGGGGCTGGGCTCCGGGGAGGACTCGGTGGTCTGGAGCCACGAGGTGGAGGTTTGTCTGTTCCACGCGATGATCGGACACAAGCCCGTCGGTAAGAGCTAGCAGCTAGCATGTTAGCCGCTAATGTTAGCATGTTAGCCGCTAATGTAGCGGGTCAGCTAACGTTACCGGGAGCTCCGTTCACCGACACCGGGCAGCAGGCTGCAGCTTTACCGGCAGAAAACAGAACCTTCAGATAAAACAGGAAGCAGGTTCGGTTCTAGAGGAATGGACCGTTTACACTTGGTTGGTGAAATGAAACGTCTTAAAGTAGTTCCCAGCAGAAACAGTG